CTTCCGATCTTGCTCTGCTCCCAGCTTCCCCGATTCAGCTGCTGTACATTGGATGCCGGACTAATGGAGTTTTACTGTATTCTGAGCAAAAGGGCAGAAAAACAAGGGGGTATGTCTACACTACAAAGTTAATTTGAACTAACAGTCATTAGTTCAAATTAACTTTAATAGCGGCTACACATGCAAACCGCTATTTCGAATTTAATTTGAAATAGCGGAGCACTTAATTCGAACTAGGTAAACGTCATTCTATGAGGACTAACGCCTAGCTCAAAGTAAGTAGTTCGAATTAAGGGCTGTGTAGCAACTTAATTCGAACTAGTTGGAGGCTAGCCCTTCCCAGGTTGCCCTGATGGCCACTCTGGGCCAAACCAGGGAAACTTTTCTGCCCCCCTCCCGTGCCGGTTGAAAGCCTGCCAGCACCCAGCCAGCAGACCCTGCACCTGGCATGGCATGAGCCAGCCACCTGCCGCCACCCAGCCCTCCGCCTCTTCCCAGGACCAGGCTGGTGGCTCCCAGGAGCCTGTCCGGGGCCGTAAGAGGTGGGTGCCCACCTGGTCTAGTGCATAGATCGTGGACCTCATCGAGGTTTGGGGGGAGGCCTCCAACATCCACGACCTCCGAACTAGGCACAGGAATGTGGCTGTCTAGGGCAGGATAGATGCCAGCCTGGCCACCAAAGTCCACATGCGAACCCAGGAAAATCAAGTTGGTCCAGTGAGACCCCCGACCCTGAGCCCTGAGCTTAGAACATTAGAACATAACAACGGCCGTTCTGGGTCAGACCAAAGGTCCATCTAGCCCAGTAGCCTGTCTGCCGACAGCGGTCGACAACAGCTACATAAGAGGGGATGGACCAAAGACAATGACCGAGCGACTTGTCTCTTGCCATCCATCTCCAGCCTTCCACAACAGAGGCCAGGGACACCGTTCCTACACTTTGGCTAATAGCACTCCATGGACTCAACCTCCATGAATTTATCTAACTTCTCTTTAAACTCTGTTAGGGTATGTCTACACTACAAAGTTAGTTCAAACTAACTTTCATAGGCGCTACACTAGCGCTCCGTTAGTTTGAATTTAATTCGAACTAACGGAGCGCTTAGTTCGAACTAGGAAAACCTCATTTTACGAGGATTAAGCCTAGTTCGAACTAGCTAGTTCGAATTAAGGGGTGTGTAGCCCCTTAATTCGAACTAGTGGGAGGCTAGCCCTCCCCAGCTTT